GCAAAAATAGAAACAAAACAAATAAAAGCAACTAACAAATACAAATAAATGGCAAAGACCAACTAACATAAAAATATACTGCATTTGATCTATTTGTTTCCTTACCAGCTCTATTCCCTCATCTTTGTTTCCCTCTGCTACAGCGCGGCCTAGTGACACTAACAGGGAACTGCACTGCAACAGGGCGCCTCCAGACAGCAGCTCCCTGTTATCCTCAGAGCTGATAAAGGCAGAAAAGAGGCAGATCATCACAATTATGTTCAGTAACTTAAGGAGAAATTACCAACAATAACAAATAAATAAATATAACAAACTGTTAGCTTTTGCTGAGAATATCCTTCAGCTCTCACCTGCACGTGAGGTAGTGCAGACACCACGCACACTCAATGGCAGGAGCCAGGCCGAACTTGGGGTCGGGAGTGAGGACTGATAACAAGTGTGAAGGTAAGCGGGAGGCCAGGACCATCCTGCAGACACAGAGCGAGACAGCTACACGATTGACAACAGTGTTAAATGCGAGCACAACACAAATTATTTGATATTTTCTGAGACAGCGGCAATGTAGTCTGAAGTGAGGAATTGTGAGCCAACAGCGTACTTACGGGATTATTTTCTCTGCTGCATCTTTGGTCTGGAGAAGCTGGGAGAGGGTGAAGCCCACAGCTTCTACCACTGCAAGGTTATGTCTCTGGTTCTGGACAAAGACGAAAACATGCAGAGAGACACTTTAACATACATGTTACATTGTGTAGCACCAGTTTAGGGCTACGTGGGAAATCTGACTCAGACAAATTAGTTAAAAAGATGTAAAAAGTCACAGTGAGGATGTTTGTGTGTGTCCTCTATTAAAGCTGAGGTTTTGTCACAGTGTTAAAGACCAATGAGCCATGTTAGTTTACCTCCATACAGCTGGTCAGAGCTGGTATGATCCCCTGTGCCAGGAGCTTCTCTTTTACAACATCACTGTCTGGGCAAATATTACCAAGTGTGTAGAGACACAGCTCCTGTGTACATATGAATATACACATACAGTAAGTCACAAATCTCCTGCATAACTAGGCAGAAATATTACACACACTGCCTTGGATGAATGTTTGCTCACTGTGAACTTGGTGCTCGGGCCAGACAGGTAGGTGAGCAGGTAGGACGTGGCAGGGAGACAGGCTGGTGCCACGTTTTTGTGGGGAGAGTGAGACAGCTCATGAAGACACCGAACAGCCTGCAGACGGCACTGAGCATCTGAGCCAGTGAGGAGGCCGACCAGCAGATGCATGCTGTTCTCCTGCCTGCAGGGAACGACACGATGGACATGATAATAAATGCAAATAACATCATTTAAACTCATTTAATGTGGCAACAGAGGTTTTGACCGTACTTGATGAAGGTGAGCTGTGCTGATGGGTCACGCAGAGCTTTACTCAAGGCCTTCAGGTTGGTTTCCTTCTCCGGGCCGCTGTGTTGAAGTTTGTGAACCAAACTGACCACGTCCTGGGGAAATGATGAAATTGGCAGGTTGGTTGGGTTTGTCATTTTATTGAACCTGCCAACAAATTATCCATCATCTGCCACTCACCTGTTCTCCTGCGGTTGTGTCCATGGTGATGTCTTGCTGCTCCTCATCTTCACTCAGCAGAAGTCTCTTGCTCACAAGCTGTCTGTCTCTGCGGGCCTGTCTCAGTGCTTTACAATCAACACAGACAGAAATCCAAACACTTAATGCAAATTACCGTACTAGGAAATTCAACATAAAAGTGCCCTACAAACCATGATTAAAATGATTTAAAAAAAAGCTGCCTATGAGTTAGACATTCACGACGGGGGAAAACAGATGCTGGACAAACTAGATGTCAACATGGATTTTGTTTGGTCTTTAACATATAGACACTGTGTTGTCATTTTGACTTACGGGCTGCTAAATTATGGTTTGGGCAGAACTAATTAATTAAACTAATTACAGACAATATTTCATATTTATGTTAAAGAAAACAAGGGAAAGAAAATGTACTAATTGTTGTAGCGTTTTTACAACATGGTCATACCTTGCTGCTGAATGTCATGCTTGATGAGAACAAAAATTTTACTAGTTGGCCTAAAAATCCAAACAAAGCCACTGTAAGTCTGAGGCACTTGTTTGTCTCTTTGTCAGAGCTTGGCTGTGGAAGAAGTGCAGGGTCACTTTGCAGCTCTGATTTGTGGTACTGTGGCTTTTCTGTACTTACTAATTACTGCTGTAACTGTGAGAGTGTGTGAGTGGTTTTTGTCCGTTGATTGTTCTGTATCCTCTTACATCGTGGTGAAATCTTTGCAAAACACTGAGATTTTCTAAATTCCTGAGACAGTTATTCTCCACATGGAGCCATGATGCAGACGTGCAGATAGACAGACTTCAGGTCCAGAACAGATAAAGTTGTGGTGTTCACAGGTCATTTGAGAACTATGTTCATGCAGGTGGGCTAATTGATAATCACAGGTGTACTCAGTTTTATTTCAGTGATCTAAGGGTTTCTAACTTGTGATCACAGGTGTATTCAGTTTTGTTGCTTTCTGTTTTAACTTTGCGGACTGGACTTTTTTTTTTTTTTTTAATCTAGTTTTTACAAAGTTTTAGTTTTTCCTCTTTTAATGGCAAGAAATACTCTTTTGACAATTTAGAAATGTTGCAATCATTCAAAATCATTCACTTGTTTTATTTTCTATATCTACTGTTGTTAATCTTAGTGGGAGGGTTTTGGAGACTGGGTGTGATGGGCTTAGGCGGTTTATTTAACCCTCCTATTACCTTTTAATTTACTGACATCTTTTTATCCTTAGGTTCAATCTGACCCCAGCAATTTAAACTTCCAGAAAATTATCACAATTTAAATTGTTACCCAAGTTTATGTGTAACTAGTCCTTTAAATAAAACTGGGGAAAAAAAGTCAATTACTTCTTTAGAGACGTGAAACATTGAATGGGGTAGAGATAATAGGAAAGTAAACTGATCATTCACCCACTTTTGGTAATAATCATACCAAAACGTACTGAAGAAGTAATTAGATTTTTAAAAATAATAATAATAATTTAAAAAAGACATTTATGACATTAAATACGGTTCGGTTCAGCTCCAAGCTGCCAGTATTTCTTGTAATTTAGCCTAAACGTTGCAGCCTCTTTGCCACATAAAGTGTTGACTTTAACCAACAGGTAGCAGCTCATCGTTGCACTTGCCAGCTAGTTATCGTAGTTTAACATATTATATTTAAATGTGTGTTTAAAGAGAGTAAACGCATCTTAACGTATAAACAGACTCACCTCTCTCGTGTTCTCGCCTCTTCAGTCTGAGCTCCTCCAAACCGTCGCCTTGTCGGCCCGCTTTGTGCCGAACTTTGTTTAGCCGCCACATTTTATGGTTTTAATTGAGTTAAAATAGTTGAAAGTACAGTGACTTATTTCATGTTTAACGTGTAGCGGTGGCACCGGGAGCTCTGGTGGTAACTCACAGACGTTTGTATTCTTCTTCGGTCTTTCCAGTCTAAGCGCCTCCGCCGCCGCAGCGTCATCTAGCGGCGAGATCCAGACACAACATGATCCCAGACATCAGTCTGGTTTTTGTTGTTGTTGTTGAAATAAACATTATGTACAGCTATGCATGTTATCAAAAAAGAATAAGAATAAAGATTATGCACATCATATATAAGCAATGTAGACATAAAAACTATCAAAATAAATAGTGTGCAGGGTAAGGTGAGCAGTAAAATGAGTTGTAAGGTGCAGAGAATAGTTTTACTGTTATGGCCCATCCACACTAACAACTATAGAGATCACTATACAGATGTGTGCGCCTGATCTACCAGCTGCCTCCAGGCCCAGATTTAGTGCCAGCAACTAACAAACAACTAGCTTCAAGTTGTTCCCGGCTGCTGACAGACACCTGTGCTGCTAGACTAACCTGCTGCTGCTAACCCATCGAAGCTCGGCAACCTGGTACCACTGCCTGCATCCTCCGGTACATAGAAAATGGGACCAAAGCAGCAAAGAAACACTGATGAAGAATATTTATCACTCACTCAGTTAAATGACTTATTGAATCATCAGAAAGATGTGTTCACTGCTCTATTACAGCAACAACTTGACATTTTTAAAGACTTTGTTAAAGTCTTAATGGACTTGACTAATTCCAGAATGGATGCAATCACTAAAGAAGTGCAAGATCTGAAAATAAGCATACCATTTACACAGAAAGATGTGGATGAACTGAAGATCACCCAAGCAAAACAGTCTGATCATTGCAACAAAACCCCAACACACGTTATAAAGATATGCGAAAGTCTACAGGTCATTCTAGACAAGCAAGAGTACCTGGAGTGTCAATCGAGAAGAAACAGCATCATGACAGATGGACTACCAGAGGCCCCAGGTGAATCCTGGGCGGACTCAGAAGAGAAAGTAAAATACATGCTGAAGCAGAAGTTTGAACTAAAGCGGGAGATAGAGGTGGATTGTGCACACCGCACAGGTAGACCAGAAGCTGACAGAGAAAGACCAAGATCCATAGTTGTCAAGTTTCTGCATTTCAAATAGTGGGTTAAGTTAAGTATTGCACATGTTTACATAAACAGTCTTAGAAACAAAAAAAAAAGAAGGCAACGAAACGCTAATTGAACAAAAAATGCAAAAAACTGCCAATTCAAAAAACCAACCGGAACCCTCCCCTGAAGAAAACGAACCAAAAAATAAAAGTCACAACATTTACAGAAATGATAGGAATAGATATGGTGAGGGGGGAGGGTAGCTTTCTATGTTCAGGATCATGTGCCTGTGAAAATGTGTACTGATGTCATGCAATATAATATTGAAATATTATGGTTACAAGCTCATCTACCTTAACGAAAGCCTATCCTCCTAGGTCGCTGTTACAGACCACCTAGCGCTAATAATGAATATCTTGATACAATCTGTGAAATGTTGGCTAATAATACTGTTGTGGGTCAGGATATTTACTTAATGAGAGACTTTAACATTGACTGGTTTTCTCAAAATTGTCCTCTGAAGAACAAGATGCAAACTGCAACCAATTCATGTGGACTCACTCAAGTCATAAATAAACCCACAAGAATATGTATAAAGCATGATGGCACCAAAACATCTACGTACATTGATCATATTTTGACAAATGTTCCGGAGCTATCTAGTAAGATATTGTCTGTGCCCACTGGCAGTAGTGATCATAACCTGATCATAGTCATTAGAAACACTAAAGTAAGTAGACCAGAACCCACAATCATATTTCAAAGATCATACAAACTGTTCAACCATGACTTATTTGTTAATGATGTGAAAGAAATCTGTTGGTCAGAAATGATAGCAGCAAATAATTCTGAAATTGCTCTGTTGAAGTTTAATAATATATGTTTGCCTCTGGTGGAGAAACGTACACCATTAAGGAAGTTTACTACCAGGAATACCACAACACTCTGGTTAGACAAAGAAATTAAAGAAGCTATGAAAATGAGAGATCCCAAAAAACCCCAACAACAAACAAACAAAACAACAACAACAACAACAACAAAACAAAACAAAACAAAACGTAATCAGTAGACATTAAAATTACCATCTGTTGTGAAGGCACCTCAATGTTGTTTTATTTTAAAAATGACACAAGAAGCGAACAAAATGTAATCCTATTTAATGCTCCAATAAGTTTATTTACATCAATGAAGGTCAGAAACATAAACATCTTTCAATTAGATGTAAATACTGAACTGCATCATTTACTTATCTAAACATTTTATATCTAAATAATATTTGTAAATCTGTCTGTAAATTATCAAATGCACATTATACATATAATTAGAGATATAACAGTTGCAACGTTGCACTTTAGCTGTCCAAAAGCAAAACATATGAAAATCTAATACATTAATGTCCAAGTGACTTCTTTAGCTGCATTGCTAAAAAGACAATAAAAGCTT